AACCGGTTCTTGAAGAAAGTAGACCTATTGTGTAGAAGCGAAAGAAGAGGAAGTCAGACAGAGAAGTAAGCAATTAAAACAACTCTGAACTAAGCTAAATACCTACTTATCCCCAAAAATATAGACGAGTTGAAAAGCAGTTAAAGAAAATTGTAAAATCTGTTGAAAAATCGAAAAAAAAGAATTGAAGTCAGTGATGTTATATCTAAAAAGAAGGAATTAGTAAAGAAGGCGAAGTTATTAAAATTCAATTAGAAGAATACTACACTAAAAGAAAAATCACCAAATCGGTGCAAGATCAGATAGGTACATTGCATTGCTGGAGGTGGTTTACTCAATAATTAGTTATTTGTAGTTCGTTTGTGGAGCAGTACAGTGTTGGTACTACGGGGTCGGCAAAAAGGGTCATAGGTCACTAAAACAAAAAGTCATAGAGAAAAAAGAAACAGTTCAAACAAGCTATATCTGGAAATGTAATAGACAAATACAAACTGTGGAGAATACAAAACAGAGCAGTGACTCACAAAAAGACTGGACATTAGCTTGCAAAGGAAAAGATAAGAACAAGGTTTGGTTTTGGCAATTTTGATAAGACGATGCTAAAAGTCGTCAAGCAGCTAGAAAGAAAGAATGAGTGTCTTATAATATATAATACCATGCAGTAAGTGTATATATTTTGCTGGATGTTATGAAAAATCTTTCTGAAAAGTTTTCGAATACTATTCCATATTTACTTATTGTTAATAGTTACTATAACTACAAGACGTGCCGTTATTAGATTCGAAGATATTTGTTCATAGTTCTAATAAATTCCGTATGTTTTCTATGAAACTGCGTATTTTGTCAGTCCTAGGTTACTTCCGTCAGTACCCTGGCGGTCAATTTTAGAAAAATCGAAATATCTCAAAATCTACTGATAAAAGTGACTGGCAATATATTCATTAGACTATCTGTCTTAAATACCCGAATTTGTAGAAATTTTACTTGAAAACTATAGTAAACGAAATATGTCTAGAAGTTACCCAATTTTTGTATATTCACCCATATACAGTATTGCTAACTAGCTTTTTTATTAAACGTCAAAGCGCAAAAAAACTATTTATTGCGAATATTAATGAAGCTTTGTAGTGCTTTAAGTAGTTTACAGATAAATTGTAGAGGATGAAAAGACTTTTAATATGCGACCACATTGGTCCACATAGCCAAAACTTCTGGTCCGCACGTGATTCTTTTAGTTGCAGTGAGGGCATGTGCAGCGCAGGTTGCTCCAGTTCTTTCACGTGTCTTCCATATATCTTACGAACTCCCAGAAAACTGAAAGTTTCTTCATGTCCAGCCCGTTCAAAAAACCGGGATGATAATTTATATATTTGCTGTCTATTATGGAGAGGTGCATAATTCGGGAGCTTTTGGAGTAAGTTTAACAGTTAGTAGAAAGTTACTCACTAAAATTTCTCGTATCTCTAGATGAAGAACCTCTTCATTTACCCCCAAGAAAATATTTCTAATGCAAAATTTTTCTGTAAATTTTTTTCTGAAATTCGATATCCTGGTGAATAAAGCCGGAGCCGATCATGCTTTTGATTTGTTGTGTTATCAACGTTTTGTTACACGCATCGACCGGGGCATGTAATCAAGCCAACAAGTTGTCGAACGTTGATTGCTTGTTGATTGCTTTGTGCTTTGTAGGTGCTGGTGCCTGACGCTGTATTTGCATCACGCACCCGCCTGACTCAGAGACGCGTCATATTTTCATTGCTGTCGACACAATGTTGCCGTACACGTTCTTGAAATAAACCCACCAGTTTGGTGTTCGCCTGAAAGACCTGGTGAACCTTCCATCGCCACGCCGCGACGAATTTCAGTTAATTTTCAGCTGCCGGTACGAGCAGCAAAGTAACTCATAAATATTTATAGAACATCACTGGGTATGTATCTCTATCGAGCCTCTATGTGGATGGGAGGCTTCTGCCAAGCATCGTAGGTTTTTTTTGGTGTGTGAAGGCTTTGATCGAATCAGCGCGCAATGTTAGCAGAATACAAAGACGAATTTACAGATCTACTTCGAAATATGTTGGTTCTGATACTGTATCAATCTATCTTCAGTGTAGTCCTTATTTTAATTGGGTATCTTCAAGTGGATTATCAATGGGAGCTAACTTAAATCGGTAGAGCCTTGCAGCGCTTTTATCCTGAACAGCAGTAGCCGTGGAATAGCTTTGACAGATCGCAACATTAATAATCATACTATCAAATCTGACAGCCGAGTGAAAACTGTTGATAAAAAGACAAAAGTTATCCCATGGCATAAAAGCGCTGGACCGCTTCACGTGTGCGGACCCTCCCAATGCCTTTTCAAATGTATGTATCATGTACATCCGATTGGTGAAATATTGCAGACTGCGACTTTTTCCACTTTGAGGTGCCAAAAATTCATTTACATTTGCCCTCAAAACTTGAATGGATGATAGAGAAATATTTTCAACACACGGATCGCAGCAACGCGGCACTTAGCGGCCACAGCGGTGACCCAGCTGACAATGGGAATTAGGATACAATTCCAATAGACAGCTTGCTGTTTTCACTTTCCCAGTAGTCGACTCTGAAACCTTGACGATATCTCAAAAACTAGACATTGCCGGACTGCAGAGGCTCCCGATTCATTGACCCAAAAAACGTATTTTTAAGCTCACAGTTCTGACTGACTTATTTTTGTCCATTTTTGTAACGTGATAGATTGACACTAAAAATAAAACATGCTTTGAATGTGATTTAATTACTACTGGTATACATATTTTCAGTAGGTGAATATGTCTGGTGCCTTTTATCATGTACATCCTACTATTTTAGGGAATAATTGCTAAGGTATGCGAAGTTTAGGTGCAAAAATCTATTTTCGTTATTGGTGGCTAGATGCGATCGATGCTTTGTGAGACCAGGTAATTTGGGACGTTGAATTTCAATATCGTCATTAAAAAATTCAAAGTGTTGGACAGAATTTTGGTTGAAAAAACTAGCCGGAATCGGAATCCAGTCACCCGATCGACCCATGAGACGAAATTTTCATCATACGTAAGAATTCTATGACAAATTTTGGAAATGCTTTGTTTTTTTTTTGAAACGGAGTAATGAAAACGGTCGCTGATCAGGTTAGTGAAACTAGATCATTGATCTTTGCTCTTGCTGTACAAAAGTCTGCTTAGTAAATCCTTTGAAGACAAATAAAATTACAGAATGTAGGGTAGAGTAGGGTAAATCGTACCGATTTTTAAATAATTGACCACTGTACTCAGAAATTAAACTCTTTAGCATTCATATTAGCACACAAGCAAATATAAACATTTATTTTCTCCTCAATCAAGAGTTTAACTAAATCAAACAACATCTTAAGCAAAAAAAATACAAAAATAAAAATGCTTGCAAACGGTACGATTAAGCGAACAGGTTGCTTTAATCGTACCGTCGGTTTTTAAATCGTACCACTAACTTTTTATTTACAGTTCTCACACACGTATTTTTTTATTTGCTTTTTAGTTCCTGCACATGATGTGTGGGCCCATTTCTCACATTTCATACATTTCACCATATCCTCAATAATGTTCTCTTCACATATATGGCAGTACCATTCAGTAGTATCATATTCAATTTGAGCATTTACTACATCAGATTTTGAAGTGGAAGATTGGTCGTCACGTGCTTCGAAAAGGAAAGTAGAAGAAAGCCCGAGATTTTTCTTTACTTTTTTAATTGAGTTCTGCCTTTGATTACGCTTGCTCTCCAATTCATCTTTATAGGGCGTACTGCTTAAAATGACGGCTGGTTGAGACAATTTTCTTTTCTTAGCATTACCTTTATTCTCAGGTAAAGGATAAATTTCTTCAATGGAGGTATTCAGATCTGTTGAGTTGCAATTGTTGTTTAGTTCAGTACTATTACTTTTAACTGGTCGCTCAGTAGCTTCGTCTTCAGGCTCAATAGTCGTTTCACGTGGATTTATTGCCCCTAAATCCTCCCTTGCTGTTTCTGAATCATTTTCAAGCAAGGCGCTAGCAGCGATAAAATCTGCATCAGAAAATACAGTACGGTCAACCGGCCATATTCCAGTTCTTTTAAAACCACCCATGATGTTGCTTATTGATGCAGTTTTTGCATAGGCATCAGAGAGCAATCCAGTCATGTTATATTGAGTAACAGTGTTACCAGGATTGCTTCTCAAAAATGTTTCAATACCTTGAGAAAAATAGGATTCCATAGGTTTAAAAAAGCTTACGTCTAATGGCTGTAACCGATTTGTAGTATGGCCAGGAAGTTGCAGTAGTACAATTCCATGCATTTTTGCTAAAATGAGTGCTTCCAGATTTTTTGAGTGCGTTGTGTGGCCATCCAGCAAAAGCAAAACTTTTTTTTCGGTACTTGGTTTTACGTACTCAATGAAGTGCTTTAACCATTTAACAAAAAGTTCGCTATTTATATATCCAGAATCTGAAATTGTAACAATAGTGCCAGATATTGCACCTATGGTTAGCTCTGGAGCCATACGTTTTCTCTTGAAAATGACCATGGGTTACAGTTTACCGGCAGCACTGGCACAAACGACAACTGTGGTATTTACGCCCCTCTCACCACTTACTATACCTCCAACTTGGTGCTTTCCTCTACGTGCAATTATTTTTTGATTCCGTTTTTGAACAGTTGAAAATCCACTTTCATCAACATTATAAGTTGTTTGAGCCGTAAAACAGTGCACAATATTTGATATTTACTTGTATTTTGTGACAATAAACATTATTATTATTATTATTATTATTATCAACACATCTTTCTAAGATATCAAAAAACTCATTGACATTTTTTTGGTTGAATCCAGTTGCTCTAGCCATGGAGATTTTCTCTGGTTGCCTTAGTGACAGTTCAGGATGTCGGTTCATAAAAGAATAATACCATCCTTTTCCCGCCATTTCTTTGTTGATGTTGAAGCGATGTGGAATATCATTCCGAACAGCTATTTGGAAAGCCAATCGTCTAACATCCCGAATTGTTACACCAAAAAATCTTTCTTCCAGCTTCAAAATATGTTTTGCCAATTCCATTTCAGTTTCAGGACTGAAGGTTGTGTGACGACCCAAAGACTTGACATTTTCATTTAAAAAGCGCAAATGCCTTATAAAAGTTGGCTTTGGAATGTTATAGCGCCTGCAGCATTCATTAAAACCACATTGGTTTTGTTTGTATGCATTAATTGCATGATCCATATCTTCTGAGGTCCATCCACAGTATTCCCGTTTTGTTTTTTCTTATTATTTACTTTACTCATCTTCTTTTTTGAATTCCTGTAACAAAAACTTATGAAAAATGGAGCAAAAAGTCTCGGTTGGGTAAATCGTACCGGTACGATTTACAAAACTGTCGGTGGTACGATATACGACACAAGCACAATTTTACTTTTTTATATAAAATTTCAACCTAAACAAACGTATTTCCAATTGATAATTTCAGCAACAACTAACTACACGTCCATAAAATACGTGAATAATACATCTTAAAAGTATCTACTTACCAAATGTAAGAAAAAAGCTTATGAACCGGAGTAAAAAATAACATCAACAACACTGCTCTTAATTTAACCTCAAACTGACTGACAGGGTGAAGTGAGCGGCAATTATTAGCTTGGGCGGGAAAAATATAATCCTCAAAGCTTTTGGATTTTGCCAAGAGATGCCACGCGTAGTAAATAATTCTCTTGAAAACGGTGGTGGTACGATTTACCCGGCGGTACGCTTTATCCGACTTTACCCTATATTCTTTAACTCGCATCGAGTGAATATTCAATTTAATTTACTTACTGCCCTTTTTCTTTCTGACTACTTGTATGCTCATCACGTGCTTAGAACTAATTTTCCCTATTTATCGTAACAAGGAGTTACGGCTGGCGCCCTCTACTGGATGGTGGTAAAGTAGAGTTAGAGGTAGCGTAGTCGTTCCAACATCCAGCAGGTGGCGCAAGCCGTACACTTGTTGCTATAAGCCAGGAAATTTAGCTCATAACACTTACTTAGACAAAAAGGGGTTGTTCGCACGGTAGTAAGTAAATTGAGTATATACTCGATGTTTCTAGAATAAAAGCATTCTGTAAGTATATTTATGTCTTCAACGAATTTATTAAGAAGAATTTTGTACTTCAAGTGCAAACATCAGTGGTCTAGTGTGACTGACACAAACATATAAAGAGAAAAGTCGTTTTTGGTAGCTAAACCAGGTGATTTATTTGATTTCATATGGGGATTTGAGGCCCTTCTTACACAAATTAATTGCATAATTTTTCGCAAGTTTCAATCGCCTACATTTATTAGAACCATTAATTCGAAAGCGCCTCCTAATTGGTAAAGATTGATCCACGGATAGAACGTTGCGCCCCGGATAGTAAAATCGGGCCATACAATAATTAAAAGGATCATGTCTTGAATGTTTGTCTTATGTTTGGAAACACCCTCTATACAAACATTCAGGTAAGGCAACACCTGGGATAATCTCATATCTGGGAAACTGCTCCCTCATCGGTGCATGATCCTATTAAGCAAGATTATAGGTATGACCACTTATTGTTCCATATACATCAAATATGTAGATTGTCGATCCGTTTCACGATATATTTTATACTACGACGATCGTTTCAATATTGCACATTAGATCTCATAAAACCGGCGAATACAATTTGCGCTGAACCGACGGCCAACAGGTATCAACAAAATGCAGGTCATAACGATAGTAGATCGTAGAGGCGAATCGCGTTTCGGGTCGCTTTCATGGCGTGCAGTATATGCGAAATGGCATCGTACGCTGCAATATTATGGGGCTATATCATTGTTGGTGCATTAGGAACGATATGAATACTCAATTATAGCCTAAGCTGTATAAACCGAATGCTGTAGACGCCTAAATGGTAGTGGATGATATACGTACGACGCTCGTATTTGACATGAGACATGATATAGAGAAGATGATATGATTATAATAATATACGACGCAGTGTTGTAATTATTAAATATTGCTACGGATAGCATATGATGCTATCCGTTGATGTGCTTCACTCATGCATGCACTTTGATGACTAGCTCAATACATCAACAAACGTACTATAATCTGCAATCCTAATAAATGATATTGATGGGTCTGTTCAAGAATTATCTCTCTCTGGTAGGTATAGTGACGCTGTTATTTTCAATGACATATTCAGTAACTGCTATCTAGATATTGTATTAGGTTTGATTAAAATTTTGGGCAAGGCACAAGTCCTTTTGCGAATAGGTCGCAAATTATTCTGTTCGATTGGTCAAATTTGCATCTATTTCGCAACTTTTGCATTCGGGGTCAAATGAGCAAATATTTTTTTGGATCAGACGCTCATCTTACACAAATCATATAATTTTTCGCTAGTTGAAGGTATAATTTAGAAGAAGTCGACTAGATACATTAGAACTATTACTTAAAAATGCCTTCTGCAAATTTTGCGCTCCTGATAGTAAAATTGTATTAGAAAAATCGTCAGAAAACAAAGTAATCCTTCAATAAAGCTCCCCACCTCAAGTTTTGGAACACCCTGTAGCTTTTTCAGAGCAGCCCCTACAATGAACAGTATATTTATTCCAAATTAGTAGGGGAAATATACAGTTGCTGCTCGTTTGGTTGCTTATTATATTTTTCAAGTGCTGTGTTTACGCCATGGGTAGCTAACTATAGGACCATGCTATTTCATGCTATATAATCGTCCAATATTCAAGTTAAAACCAAGACGTTGGAAGAATCTCTTTTGTTGAAGGATTAAGGAGTTAAGGACATTACATTTTAGAAGATCCATGCGATTTGTAATGTTATGTTCATCTTACACTCATTCTATAACATACGGAAATTTCGGAAAATGAGCTGATTTTTGAAATTTGCTTGTTTTCAAAAGAACCTGGCAACCGGCGTGATACCTTGGTAGCGCTAAGCGGACCAAGCCAGTGGGAGACGTTGTCAAATAGATTTTTTCATCGTATTTCCGTATTATCTCGCTTATTTTTTGAGCAGTCCCAAAAATTTTCGCACATCAACAGGTTACCATTGTATACATGACATGAGCACGTGACAGAATAAACTTAGTGCAAAAGCTATTAAATGAAATTTTCTGAAAATAAACGTGTATTTTTTAGAATTAATTAATGCTCGTGTCATTAATATACTTGAAGTTAGTGCGAACACGAAATTTCAATTCGGCCACATTGATATTTCTCGAGAAGGATTGGAAGTTAGATTAAAAAATCGGAGGAAAAAAATTGGACTTTTGAATATTGTGTAAAAACAACCTGAAAATATAATATCATCGACAAACCAGATACCACTTCAGACCATCACAAAAATCCAATCAGCGACGACAGAAAAACAACATAAAAATGGACCAACCGCTTTAACACCGCATTATTTGCGATAATGGCGCAGCACCAGCCCATTCAAACTGCGTGCAAAGCAAACCCTCTAAAATAACATCAGATACCATGTTCATACTGTGGTCACTTACTAGTCCTACTCTCACCCATTGTATAGTGAACAGCGTACTGTGTAAATGCAAATGCAAACGTGAAGCGGATACCGAAAAAAAGTGAAGTAGTAATTTTCCATAAAAAATTAAATTTTAAATTAAAAAAAATAAGGTTCTACAATTTCAATTTTTTTACATCAAAATGTAGCCTGAAATGTAGTTAAATTACACTAAAAGTTTTAAAATGGAACGCACATTAATTAAGGAGATGGATATTTTTATGTACTGACATATTGCACAGGGTATGACGTGAAGCGCTTATTTCAGTCGACTGGTTTTGGTATTTTTAAGCTCTAATAGTCTTTTTTAAATATATTTTAACTTAGAATTATACTTTCTTACAAGATTTTTCAAATATTGAAATTAATAGAAAAATATGACGCAAAATTTGGGTAACTTAGGATAATTTTATTTCCTATTTTTTTCCTCTAAAAGTGTGCTTGAAATACACTAAAAGTTTTGAAATGGGACGTAAGACGCTTGTATTTTGACAGAGAGTTGCATTTTTTTTACAAGAATTTTCAGGAAATTTAATAAAAGAGGGTCTTAAACAGGAATTAAATATTTCAAACCGAAATCTACGTAACTTTCACCATTTTTCTACTCCAAAACATGCAAGGTGTTATCTATCATCTACTGACCTGGATCAGTTGTACCGGGATGGAAATGCTTGATATGTCATAAACAAGGAGATACCAAAATTGGTCTTTGATTGTATTGCATCTCGTTATTCAAAAGGTGATGCTCGAAATGCGTTAGAAGCTATCTGTTGATCATTTCGCTCAGAAAATATGGTATAACGCACATCAAATTTATCACATTTAACTTCCTTGTTCCTTCAACATGCAGAAGTAGCAATAGCGGAAAACAGGCATGCACACAGCTGTGAAAGTTAAGACAGAGTTTCTTGAAGGTCCGGCGCCCGATTCTTCGGGGCGTAAAGTTGTAGAGCGCTGAAGCATTCGCCATCATCACAACCCGCAAGCATCTCGGGCAAGTTATTTATGCCCGTTGCATGCCGCATATAATTTGCGGTGGGCGGCCGTTGATAATTTTCTGAATAATAATTTAGATTACCATTTCGCTACTGGATTCCACTGTGGCAACTTTACTAAAGTTTGAAATTAATTTCGTGAAGACGGCATTGCGCTTGCTGATTCGACTACTGCATGTTACAGTGATAAGAGACTGCGTACGGGACCTTGGTTGTCTACAGAGTGTTGTTCCTGAACCATGGCCTAGAGTAGTAGGAAGGTCAAATCAATTTTAATAGACTTATCGTCATATGATGTCGACGATTTTAAAATGTACTGTAGGAACGTTTTTCTTACCTAGATTCTTTCCATTTTTCATTTTATTTATATTTTATATTTGTAATATGTTGCTAATGTTTTGAATATCCCTGTGTACTGTACTGTGTGTTATAACTTTAATATGATGTCTGCGTTACAATGTATATAGTCACGCTTGATGTAATTGTCATTTATATGTGTATGCATTCTGTATGAATCTTATCTGTTTTTATAATGGATTATATATTATTTATATTTTTTTATTGTCTGAAATCCTCGACTCACCAAACGTGTCATTGTACATTCTCTGGCTCAATAAATATCTGTCTATCTATCTAGAATCAATGGAGAATGTTTGTATAGCCGTTAAATAAAACCAAATATGTTTCCGACATTTCGGTCACCTCGGTGGCCTTTTTCAAAGTACAAATCAGAGATGGCAATGACAATATGTTTTATATTGGAAGCTCATTTGTTTTTGTCGCTTCTGTAAAACGTGTTGCTACAAAAAACCTGAACGGCTCTGTACTACTCCGAAATCGCGCGCGAACTCATCATTACAATTTTGAAAATGCTACTACGCAAACACTACAAAGTTCATGACCGCCTAATGTAGGCATTCCCGCTGCCAAATGGCGTCCAGCCTCTCCAAAGCGATAACCGAGCATGAGGTTATCTGTTATTTTGGATGTACCAGGCACGTCACCGTCGCTCATTGCCTCGAGTACACCAAATGACTTCGAGAACGCGAAAATCCACCCAGAACTGTTGTCGCAGAACACCGGTTGACTATTATGTAATTTTCGACTTCTAATACTGCATCTGCATTGTTGTTGGATCCGAAATGCGAGAAATAGCGTTACGACATGTCAGGACGCCATTTTGTTTGTGCTGTCTTGTCAGTAACATGGAGAATTGTCAGCATGAAAACCATATGTTCCATAACG